AAAACACGTATTTAGTGCGTTACGTAAATATGATTATGCAGTACAGAATACAAAAAATGCGAAACAATATGAATATGTAGAAAATAGTATGAATATGCAGGTGTGCAAAGAATTGGATGACAACGCTAGTTTAATAGTATTGTGCATATTCTTAAAAGAATAATATAAGGCATTAAACAATATACCTATTTGTGTTGAAGGTTGCGTCAAACGAAACGACATCTCCAAACATTACGTACTTCTTCCTAGCGATAGGATCGCACCAGAATACCCTAGTTAGCTGGTCACTCCCATCAACATCATAATCAAAGTGGAATGCAGAACATGTTTGTTTCTTTCTGAATAGTTTGTCAATGAGCATTTGAGCATCAGCACCTGCAATGTATGCCTTCAAGTCCCGTTTGAAATTTTTAAAGTCAACGGCAGTGGCACCCACATTGTTGTAGCCACCAACTGATTCCTTAAACAATCGATATGACTTCATTGCGCCAATGTTCGCCTTTGCACAGTTCAACATAAACTTCTTGTGGCCAATTTCTAAGTTTCTGTTGATTTTCAAAAAGGGCCTAGATGGAAGGGACAACATTGGATGGTTATGCGTTTCTATGAATGACGATATGGTGTATCCTACACCACCTACGAGCCGAAACGCCACACGCGCCTTGCAATCTACACGATTCGAAATGCGCCTCCTCTGTTTTGCCTTTGGCACGCCATCATCGGGAGTGGGTTTGTTAACAATGGGTGCAAAATGTTTATGACCCTCACGATTGCATACAACGTACCGCCAAACAACAATACCTGAAACCTTCAAATTAGTGCTTTTGCGAATATCAAAACCTGCCAGTGAAGCATATTGCTTGTAAAAATTGAATTCGTCCTCCAATGATTTGAAAACCATTCCCACTTTAGGCTTGGAATCTTCAGGGCAATAAGGAATAAATAAGTCGGATGAAGAAGAAATAATTTCTTTTGTATGGGTGAGTCTTTGTCTGGAGAAGTAGATGTGTACACTGCCGATATAGAGATAAACGTGTTGATTAATGCACTACTTATAAATGATTATGCAATACAGGATACAAAAAAATGCGAAATAAAATAACATATATGAATATATAAGCACAAAAGGTCTGCAGCATCATGAAGCATGAATCCATGAAGTGGTTGAAATTGAAAAAAGAACATAATGAAAAGAAGCCACAAGCGCACGAACAACATGATAATGCAATATAGGACACGGAACAGTACTCCAAAAAAACTTACAAATAGTTGGAAAAGGATAGCAGAAGCAATCATGAAACCAAAGCAGTGGATCCTATTTGATGCAGTAAGCATACATGAAGGTGCAATACAGATTGCATAGAATGCGTACTAGAAATAAAATATAAAG